CCCACATTCCGCTCATGCTCTTCTCCCTTGATGGTTCTAGGGGCCTGTGTTCCTGGAATATAAGATTAACCACTCCACCCTTTTTATTACAGAACTTCTACCTTTACTGAGAATTAAATTAATTCTATCGAAGATCTGTTCTTTACAGGAATGGAGAACTAGGTCTTCCTACCCATAATCACCAAATTCTGTGTACCTTATACTGAAAGGATTGCGGTCATGGTTATTCTCTTGGAGTACTATAATTTGTTCCTGAGCGGGGTTTCATGGTTGGTTTCCATCTTTGCCAGTGCCCAAGTTCTGGGACTCAGCAATTATGCAGTTAAGTGGATAAATCATGACAGTAACAGTAAACACCTGCAAGCTTGTGAGGGCCCTTTCCTCTGACTTTTTGAAATCATTAGTTACACACACACAAGCGCAGTATATTTTAATCTCTCTTGAAACTTCTTCCTTGACACATTTGTTTAGAAATGGACGGTTTAAGCTCCAACTATTTGGTATATTTTGAACCATTTTTCTGTTTTGGATTGCTAGCTTAATTCCATTGTGTTCTGAAATCATACTTTGTTTGATTTCTAGTCTTTCAGATTTGTTAAAAATGTGTTTTATATTCTAGAATGTGGTCTATTTTGAGAATGTATACGATATTGTTGTTAAGTGCCATTGAGTTAGTTCCAACTCACAGGGATCCTGTATAGGGCTTCTGAGGAGCACTTGGTGGGTTTGAACCTCCAACCTTATGGTTAGCAGTCCAGTGCTTATCCTACAGTGCCATACCAGGGTTCTTGAGATTATGTATTATTGTTAAGTGATGTAGAGTTGGTTCTGACTCATTCCAACCCTGTATAGGGTTTCTGAAGAGCAGCTGGAGGGTTTGAACTGCCAACCTTGTATTAGCAATCCAGTGTTTATCATACAACACCACACAAGGACTCCCAGACCATCTGTGGTGGTGGTGGTGGTGGTGGGTGCCGTGGAGTCGGTTCCGACTCATAGCGACCCTGTATAGGGTTTCCAAGGCTATAAATCTTTACAGGAGCAGAAAGCCTCATCTTTCTCCTGCGGAACAGCTGATAGTTTCGAATTGCTAACCTTGAGGTTAGCAGCCCGATTCGTATCCACTACGTTACCAGACCATCTATAGTTGTACTGATTTTCTGCTTCCTTGATCTATCAATTCGTGAAAAGGAATATTGAATATCCAACTAGATAAGTGATTTTGTCTGTTTCTCCTTTAATTTCTGTCACTTTTTGCCTTTTTTTTTTTTTTAAGGTGAATTCACATTTAGGATTTTTATGCTCTCTTAGAGAATTAACTCCTTTACTGTTATATAATATCCCTTTTTATCTGATGATTTTCCTGGTTCTGAAAACTGTTTTGTCTGGAATTAAAGTGAATTGGGGATCTTCAAAGAGTTCATGGAAAATAGAATTAAAAGATAATGAAATTTATTCACAAACATTTTGAATCCCTCTCATATAGTTGTGTCTTGTTTTTTTCTTTTTAAAATGTATTCTAACAAGCTGTGTCTTTTAGTTGGCTTGTTTTAGACCATTTACATTTAAAATGATCATTGACATAGTTTGATTACTATCTATTATGTTTGTATTTGTTTTCCATTAGTTGCCTTTGTTTTCAGTTTCTTTTCATGCTCTTTCAGGTTTTAGAGTATTTTATGATTCTGTTTACTTAATTGGATTATACTTAAAGTCTTTCAGCAGTTGCCCTGTACTTTATAACAACATGCATTTATTTGTAACTTAACCTAAATCCAGCCTCATGTATAGTGTTGGTATTTGATCACAAAGTATTATCATTATCTCCCTTCCTTCCTTTGTGGCATTGCTATCATCCATTTCTACTTATCCATATACTATAATCATCCAATATATTTCAAGTTTCTGATCTATATTCATGTTCTTTCTGCCTAAAGAACTTCTGCAGGTCTGCTGGCAGTGAATTCCCTCCACTTTTGTTTATCTGAGAATGTCGTTATTTCTCCTTCACTTTTGAAGGATTATTTAGATGGATATAGAATTTCAGGTTGGTGGTTTTTTTCTTTCAACACTTTGCATATTTCATTTCACTCTTATTTGCATAGTTTATGATAAGTATACTGTAATTCTTAACCTTGTTTCTCTTAGAGAAGAGGCCCTCCATGCCAACCCCCCTCTTCCTGCCTCACTTCTGTCTTTCAAGCTTTTGTCTTTTGTTATTTATGCCTTTTTCTTGGAGGAGGGATATTTTATCCTACTTACCTGAGCTTCTAGGATCTGTTTTTACAAATTAAGTTTGGATCCTATCTTCCCTCATTTATTTATATATTGCCTGTGTTTGCTTTCAATATCTGAGTTGACTCCCTATGTTAGATATTGTATGGCCCACAAAGTCTACTTATTGTCTAGTCCTGTACAAATTCCTGCAGTAGAGGATCAAGTGATCTGGGTTTTAGTTCTGACTTTGTCATTAGCAAGCTGTTTCACTTCGGGCAAATTATTAAATGTGTGTGTCTTTTAGTTGCTACAGTTTAGAGGAGTTTAGACCAGGTGCTTTCTGCTATTATATTCTGCTCTAGGAATGTATAATGTGTTTGAAATTTTTATTCATTTTGATTTAAGTAATGTATTGGCGTTGTGGGGTAAGTCTTAAACTGATAGCTGCAAGGTGGGAGTTTAAACCCACCAGCTATTTTGTGGGGGAAAGATGAGTCTATTTGCTTCCATAAAGAAACACAGCCTTGGAAACCCTATGCAGGGCCTCTGTGATTCAGAATCAACTTGATGTCAGTGGTCTTGGGGTTTAGTGTATTGCTTTGTTGTTGCTAATTACCATTGAGTTTGTTGCACCGTATTAAAAGAAAATGTTAGAAAATGGTTATTTTGTTTTGTTTTGGATGAAGTCGTTCTTAACCCTTTTCTAACTGTTAGCCATCTATTTGTACTTTGAAAATAAGATTATTGCATTGAAGTATCGTCATTCTTTCAAAAAAAGACCCTGTGGTTCAGTGGTTGAGTGTTTGACTGCTAACTGAAAGGTTAGCAGTTCTATCCTGCCAGTTACACCATGGGGAAAAAAATGTGGTGATCTGCTTCCATAAACATTACAGCCTTGGACACATGTGAGATTGTTCTGCCTGCCTTATAGGGCAGTTGTGAGCTTGAATCAACTCAGTGGTAACGGGTTTGATTTGGATTTTAATATTCTTTTACATTGTCTTTTGCTTATTTATATATGATATGAATTCTGTGATTTTAATTTATAGAACTTTCAAGTGATTTTATATTGGTAATCTTCCACCACTATTGTGGTCTAGTAATTAGAATATTCCAGGAAAAATATTTCCTTTGGCTTTGATAATTATGATAGAACTTTAAAAATAATGTAACTGTTGATTGGCAGGCTTTTCCCATTTTTATAGGGAATTTTGTTTGTTTCAGAAAATACTCGTCAAGGATTCAGTCATTTTAAGATTTTGTCCTTTGTCTCCAAACTCTTTTAATAAAGGATATTGTGGTCTTTATCTTGATACTTGAAGAAGGTGCTTTTAAGATTAGACATGAAATACCTGTGATAATAAGCTGTTAACTATGTAGATCCAAAATACTTTTATTTAAACACAAGAAGTTACCATATTGCATAGGTTAAATGCTCTAAACAAAAATTCTGAATTACAGGTAAATTCTGAAAGCTCTGTCGATTCCCACTGTAGTTCATTTAGGTTTAGAAATAAAGTATGAACCAACATGTTGAAATTATTAATTATAAAATTATTTCCTAGATAAACTGGAATGTCTAGAAAGTTTTAGGTAGCATTGCTCAAATTGTTTTGTTTTGTTTTCTAAGCAAAGGATAAAGAGAAACTCTAGTTCATCTTACAGGAAAAGCAAGTGAAAAAAAACCTTGTTTGTCACCAATTGAAGAATCTTCTCATGTCAAATTCCCTTTTGTACTCTTCCCTTCAATTGTCTTATCTTTCCCTGTCCAATTTTTATTAAATACCAGTACTTCACATTCTCTTCAGAGCTGTGAAATGCCTAGGCTTCTGAAAGAAATACAAAATCTAAAAATAAATAATTTCCAAATCACCTCTTTCTATATTGTACTTATTTATTCTTGCTTTCTTCCACAAATATTTGAAGTATGCTTAAAATAGTCATCAATTCCACAGAGTGAAGAACTGTTTACAGAAAAGGGCGTTATTAAGAAACCATTTTAATTTAATTAGAGATATAGTATAAGCCTGGATTTATTCTTTATAAAAGTAAATTCCAAATCAATTAATTACAGATATATATTGCAGATATTATTTGAATACATTAGATGATATTCCAAATAATTATATCCTTTAACTATCATTGCTGAAATGGAAATAGTTGTATTTTAATAAAAACAGTGTGCTATTTGTGATTTCTTGATCTTGGCTGTGTATATTAGAACAACTTATATTTATTTATTAGCTATTTCTAAAACTTCATACTATTATGAAAATAATTTTCATGAGAGGACAAGGTTAGCATTTTTAATTGCATCAAGCAGTATATTTACAGATGTGTATGTCTATAGAGACTGTTGCATAATTAGAATGTGAAGAAATGCATTAAGTGAAATTCTGAACTTGTATTATATGAAATTACCTGGTGACTTGTCATTTGGATTTTATCTTAGTGAGTTTGACCTAACATGTATATGGCAGCTATCATGGTACATCACTGTATGTTGTTGGTGGGGGTGATGGTTATGTACCGTGGAGTCAGTTCCAACTCATAACAACCCTGTATAGAGTACCGAGGCAATAAAACCTTATGGGAACAGAAAGCCTCATATTTCTCCTGTGGAATGACTAATGGAGTCTAACTGCTGACCTTGTGGTTAGCAGCCCAGCTTGTAGTTCACTATGCTACCAGGACGAGTAGGAAGTACACACACACACACACACACACACCTTTGATATTGTGTTTTTCCTCTTCTCTGAATTACTTTTATTTTTTCCCCTTAGAATTCTCTGATCTATGAGCTCTTCTCTGTTATGGTCCATTCGGGGAGTGCAGCTGGTGGTCATTACTATGCTTGTATAAAGTCATTCAGTGATGAGCAGTGGTACAGCTTCAATGATCAGCACGTCAGCAGGGTAAGGTTATGGTTCTGAAAGATGTAAGGAGGAATGTTTCTTAGCAGCAGCAGGGTATGTTGAAAATTGGAGGATCAGTCTATCCAGACCCATGCCAAATCATTATTTCAGCTTTGCTTTCAGTAAATATCTTTTTCTTAATTACTGTAGCTTCTTTTGTTTTATACTGTTTTGTTTGAGCTAGTTGAATGTTTCCAGAGTCTTCCTGAATATTTCTTGCCATGAGCCCTCATGGATACTACCTAAATAAGAGTACTAGAACTAGTGGGCAGGTAGCAGCTCCTGATTGAGTCTTTTAATTTGGTATCTGTATGAAGATCTAGCCTGAAAATAAGTGGCATTTGACTCTGAGGTATAAACAATAGAATGAGTTACAGATTACCATGAATGTAATAGTTACAGATTTTCCGAAAAACAAACTAATATAACTGCCTTTTAGATAACACAAGAGGACATTAAGAAGACACATGGTGGATCTTCAGGAAGCAGAGGATATTATTCCAGTGCTTTTGCAAGGTAAGTAATTGCCTTGTTTTTAGAGATGATAAATTAAGGCCCCCTGATGGTACAGTGGTTAAGTACTCGACTGATTTATAAGCTAGAATTAATTATAACTTCTCAACCAATAGCTTTTACCATTAACAATTTAACCCTGGGGTCAGCTAATTATGGCCCATGGGCCAAAATCAGCCTGGTGTCTGTTTTTAGAATTAAGTTTTATGGGAGCATATTCATTAGTGTGTATTATCTGTTGATACTTTAGTAGTTATGAGAGTTGAGTAGTTACGAAAGACGCATATTCATTGGTGTGTATTATCTGTTGATACTTTAG